TCGCAATGCGGAAATGAAAATCGCAACGAGAGAATCGCAATGCGTTTATAATTTCGCATTGCGATTTTCATTTCGCATTGCGATTCTCTCGTTGCGATTTTCATTTCGCATTGCGATTCTCTCGTTGCGATTTTCATTTCGCATTGCGATTTTCATTTCGCATTGCGATTTTCATTTCGCATTGCGATTCTCTCGTTGCGATTTCATTTCCGCATTGCGATTTTCATGTTGGGATTTTCATTTCGCATTGCGATTCTCTCGTTGCGATTGTAATTTCCGTGTTGCGATAGTCAAATGCATGCCTAATAGTGATAACAACTGAATAACAAGAGTTGGTTAAGTCAAAATGGTTGGCCTGAGTCATTAATTCAACTGAAAATGTTAAAAGTTCACACATAAAATCCACATAATACAACGTTTGCATTTAAAAATCACCTAAGTTAACAGTCCCAAAAGGTGAAGCCAATTATGATTGGGATTTTAAAGATGATTGCCTTTTGCTTGACACCATATGAGCTTTGGATTTTGATGAGGATCCATATTTTGGTAGAGGAAAAGATGATTTTGATGGCACTGGTGATCCACATGTCAACCTTGTATGACCACTTTCCTTGCACCGACTACATGTCGATCTCTTCTTCTCTTCACCCTTAGACGGTATACGATCGTGACTTTTTGGTCGGCCAGGTAGCCTTCTGTCCATGGCTGGTGGCAAAACTGTTTGTAAGTCATCTGGTATGTCCCACTCAGAAGGATGTGGAATAGGGTAGACAATCTCGGCATAAGTCTGTCGATAAACTTCTGTAGTGTAGCAATCCATAGCGTATGCGCTTGAATCATCTTGGTTTAAATGAAGAGCAACTTTTATAACATGGCCCACGGATAACCAGATGTTTGCCATTTCATACAACTACACGTCTTTGCATTTAGATCGACTAGCCCATTTAAGTTATTATCCAGTACTTGAAACAAAGTGTTTGAACATGGTTCAACTCTCCATGACGTTGACTTCACAACACGTTTCGTTATCTTTTTTTCAGTCCATGGTGTAACACGATGTTCCAATGTTCCTGTAAATTTAAATAAACAATACTTAGTAAAATATATAAATATGATAAGTTACGAATTCAAAGAAATAATACTTGCATGGTTTCTTTTCTTGTAGTACCACTGTTGAATAGAGGCTCGAAAAAACTCCATTAACATAGTAATGGGTAATTTCCGGGAATGACGACTTAGAGCGTTGATTGATTCTGCACTATTAGACGTCATGAAACCATATCTTGCTCCAAGTTGATGTACTCTTGACCATCTTTCAAACCCGACATCTTCTAGTGTTTGAGCACACTGAGGCAAAACACGTCTTAAACAATTTATATGCTTATTGAAATCCACTTCCCGATAAGCTTTTACAGCCTTCCAGTATGTCCAATATCAAAATCCTCATTATCATCAACAATACATTCTTCGACACGGCTGTTTCATCATCAAAATTCGGGTATTGACCAATATCAAAATCATTACACGCAGGGTCTGTTTCTTCTTCTGAAACATCATCAAAATCCGTGTATTGACCAATATCAAAGTCCGGATATTGACCAAGACCAAATTTCGAATACTGACTAGTACTCACAATTTTTTCTATTGGCTCATCATCGTCTAACTGGTCAATACGAAAACCGGAATTTGGTGCTGAAAGTTGATTGGGATTTGGATTAGAGAAAGGTTGTGGGTTTTGAGAAAAACTTAGTTGATTACTACCCGCTACTGACCCAACAATACTACTTCTAGGTTCAACAACATACAATGAAACATCATCTTGTGAAACACTAATGTAAGCAATGAATCGTTCAACATCTTCATTGTCGGTTAACAAATAAACTTTACCATTTCTCTGATAAGATAGCCTAAATCCACTTAGGGGCTCTAAATTCAATTTATTTGAAACACGTAGCATTAGAGTTTCATAAGTTAACTTTTGTAAAGACAATTTTAGTTGAAGATTCATGGGTAAAGGCATATATTGTAAAACACCATGAACATTATCCCATGACCCTCCAAAACACAAATCTATCCAAACATGATCAACATTAGATGATTTCATGGTTGTAAATTAATTTACTAAACAGACGAGCTGCGAAACTAAAACTTGTTGCCGGATTGGGAAGGATGTCGTTGGATATAGGAACGAATGTCGCCGGAGAGAGTGATAGATGGAGATGGAATGAGTTGCGATTTAGGGATTTAGTTTATGATTTCAGTGTTATATACCCAAAATTTCAGTGTTGTGATTTACAGATTCTCCTTGCGATTTACGGATTATCGTTGCGATTTACGGATACGCGTTGCGATATACGGATACGCATTGCGATTTACCCATACGCGTTGCGATTTACGGATACACGTTGCGATTTACGGATACGCGTTGCGATTTATGTGTTCGCGTTGCGATTTTCATATTCGCGTTGCGATTTTGGAAAATCGCAATGCGAATTTGTACTATCGCATTGCGATTTTCAAGAATCGCGTTGCGATTTTCAAGAATCGCGTTGCGATTTTGGAAACTGATTTGCGATTCTGGGGATCGCGTTGCGATTTTTATTTCGCGTTGCGATTTTGTTGGTCATTTTGGCAAATCCAAAAAAAGTTGGTTAAAATCGTATATTATAACTTTTTTTTGGTCACTGAGGCGATTTTCTCTTCTTTTTATTTCTTGATTTAAGGACAACAAGTAATATCTGAGTGGGAATGATTTGTTACTAACGTTCTCATTATTTGTCACAGTCAACAATACGTACCTTCATTAATTCTTATCTACTTTTTTAGTTTTTTCTCACTTAGTACCAAATCAATAACAGTAAATTACATGACTTTGAAAGAAACGCTAAAAATGGTAACCATATTTTGTTTTTACCTATATAATTTGTTAGAACCAGCACCCAGAAACGCCTTCACTTCTCATTTTGTTTCTTCCTCCTCTTGTTTTCAAAACTTTCTTGGTTAATTTTCTCGAGAAAATAAAAATGGCTGCCTTGAGGCATAGAAACATGCACGGTGACCTGACCAACCTAATTTCTTGTAGAATTTGTGCTTGTACTTTCATGAGCAGTAATGATCTATTCGATCACATCGAGCTTCATCTTTTGCTCGATGAAGCCGGGACTAAACGACTGCTTTTTCTTAGCCACATGTCATCAACGTCTCTTCCACTGGCTCCGACGACACTACCGCAAGAATGGATGCGTCCGAGGTTGTCGTTGGCGCGGACCGGTTATGTTCCGTCTACACTGCCGCCAAGAGAAATAAATATGAACCCTATCTCCATTGGACCCAATGCTCGCACGTTAAATCAGCAGTCGACTATCGGACCACTGCCCGTTTCGTTCAGATCGACAGGGAACAACTCGAATCCGACACCAATTAGGCCAAGAGAAACAAATAGAAACCCTTATTCCATTGGTACCCGTGCTCGCAACGTAGACCAGCAGTCGACTGTCCGACCATTGCCATTTTCGTTCCAATCGAAGGTGAACAACTGGAATCCGACGTCACCAAGGCTAAGACAAACAAATATAAACCCTTTCTCCATTGGTGCCAATGCTCACAACTTAAACCAGCGGTCGACTGTCGGACCATTGCCTCTTTCTTTCTGATGGACGAATTCGATACCTATAGCATTTTTCATTGGTGCCAATGGTCTCAACTTAGGGCAGCAGTCAATTGTGGGACCGCTGCCGTCTACGGGGATTAGGAGCAACTCGATTCCGACAGCGTCTATAAGAGTTTGTGTTGTGCCGCAGATGATGAGGGTGCAAGTGCAACAGTCCCGCGTTGAGCCAGCAGTCAATTGTCGGACCGCTGCCGTCTACGGGGATTAGGAGCAACTCGATTCCGACAACGTCAACAAGAGTTTGTGTTGTGCCGCAGATGATGAGGGTGCAAGTGCAACAGTCCCGCGTTGAGCCATTCACAAGGCTTTTTCTGCAGCAGTTGGAAGCAAACTTACTAATTGATGGAATGGAAGTGATATTCTTCTTCTTCTTCTTGGGTGTTCATAAATCGATGACATAGTGCCCGTGCTCGCAACGTAGACCAACAGTTGACTGTCCGACCATTGCCATTTTCGTTCCAATCGAAGGTGAACAACTGGAATCCGACGTCACCAAGGCCAAGACAAACAAATATAAACCCTTTCTCTATTGATGCCAATGCTCACAACTTAAACCAACGGTCGACTGTCGGACCATTGCCTCTTTCTTTTCGACGGACGAATTCGATACCTATAGGGCCAAGAGAAATAAATAGAAACACATTTTCCATTGGTGCCAATGGTCGCAACTTAGGGCAGCAGTCAATTGTGGGACCGCTGCCGTCTACGGGGATTAGGAGCAACTCGATTCCGATAGCGTTAACAAGAGTTTGTTTTGTGCCGCAGATGATGAGGGTGCAAGTGCAACAGTCCCGCGTTGAGCCAGCAGTCAATTGTGGGACCGCTGCCGTCTACGGGGATTAGGAGCAACTCGATTCCGACAACGTCAACAAGAGTTTGTGTTGTGCCACAGATGATGAGGGTGCAAGTGCAACAGTCCCGCGTTGAGCCATTCACAAGGCCTTTTCTGCAGCAGTTGGAAGCAAACTTACTAATTGATGGAATGGAAGTGATCTTCTTCTTCTTCTTCTTCATGGGTGTTCAAAAATCGATGACATAAGAATCATAATTGATTTTTTTTGAACTGGTAACCAAAATCGACAGGACTAAAAACATAACGGACCACTAGTGTAGTTTATCAATTATATAAATAAGAAGAAATTTTGTTTTCCATTATACAAATAATATGCCATCAACATTGAAGTAGAGAGAAATAAAACCTAACACCGAATTCTCCCACAGTAGAGGATCACAATAACTACCAGTAACTCCAGAACATTCGAATCGTTTGCTCAGAGCATGAAACACTAAATAACTGTTTCTGTTTCCATCCATTTTTTCTGGTTTTTGATTACGAAACACTACTATCATTACTTGGCAAGCAAATTTTGCTGAGCCTGATTCTCCTGCTGCTGCTGATAGTAGAGAGGCCTCCTGAAGAGCATGCTGTGAGGTTCAGGGCGATGAATAGCATAATGGACCCAACCACGACTCTGTTGTACCCCGATAGCACGCCATTCATTCTACAAAAGAAACCGCAGGAACTAAATCACACAAGCTACTTCAAACACTCGAAAGCTCATATATTATTGGACATGATATCTTCAATATAGGCAGCTCCGAAAACAAAGGAAATAGCACGAGCGGCAACATATATAAAAAAACAAACCGAACATTTTGCAACTCGGCACAGAAAACCATCATACATTCATTGAATTCATAATTCAAAAATAATTAAGTGGTGCAAATATATCGAGTACCATATGGATCATAAAACCAATAAACCAGAAATTCTTCATCTAGGCAAGCATATGAACAAATCATTATAGTTTGTAGAGAGAATTGGCATAACACTCAAAATGCATGCCCAGAATGAGTTAGTATAACGAAAGCCAGTTATTTTCACTTCTTATCTTATCAATGGTTACAAATCAAACTCAGAAATCGTAATAATGGTTATTAACACAAATAATTTCCTCAGTGAACACACACAAAGCAAACTATTAATAATAATATCCTATCAGAATTACACGAACAATGGGATCAGTTTTGAAGAACGAAACAAAAATACAAATAAAAAAAGCGGCATTTGTGTAAAACCCTAAAGAACAAACATACTTCAGAGAGGAGGCGATTCTTTGGTAGAAGTTTGGCCACTTCAGGAGGAAGAACAACATGCCTGCACGGTCACCGCCACCATAAAAGATCAAAGAAATTTTATTAATTCATGAAAAAAATGTTAAACTCGTTTTTTTAAGGAACATATTAAAATATCAAAATTCAGAAAAGAGAATTTAAATTTACCTGTACTCGTAAGTATCATCGAAGAATTTATCAGAGTACTGAATCTGACCCATTTTTTTTATTTTGCTGAAAGAGATTTTGAGTAAAAATTTCGATTGCATCAAAGATTAAACAATCTTTTATAACCTTCTGAAGATTTACGAACAAAAAGAAACCAATAAAGAAAAACCCGTGGCGGAGCTTACCTCGAGGGAGAGACTGTGAGGAATGAAGTGTGCGAGTGTGCGTGTCGATTGAGAGAAATGATTACGCGAAGGGAAAAGGAAAACAAAACAAATATATATATATATTAAAAATTAAGGTAAACTATACATATCACCATCTAACTATTTTTCCTTTTTATTTTGACTACTAATCTTTTATTTTTATCAATTAGATCACTTAACTGTTCAATTATTGTAATCAAATCACTATTTGTTAACATTTGAAAAAATACTGACATAACAGTTAATAAAATCGATATAATTATATATTTTATCCTCGATTAATTATATATTCTATCAATATATCTTAATTTTAATTCAACCTGAATAATTAACCCTCTAATCAGAAGATGACATGTGTTAACGGATTGTTGTAACACATTTTATTGCCATCATTTGGTTTATTTTTTAATTAAATATTTTTTTCACAAATGAAATGATGACACATGTTGTAGACACTCGTTTTTGTCCGGATTATAAATATTATATTAAAATTATATTATTATTATTATTATAACTATTATATTATAATATATTATTATTACTATTATTAATGTTACATATTATATTTTACAGGCCCAAAACCCAGTTACAAATATCAACCCAATTACAAGATGGTTCAAGCCTAATACCCAGATCCAGATCCTGTTACAGGATCCGACCCGCCAGCCACCTGAAATGTGTTTGCTTCACTACTGCTCCCATCTGCATGAATGAGGCCGCCAATCATGCCACCATTGAACCTTCACAAATCATCCAACAATCACATGCCAACGTCAAAAACAGATTCCACCTACCCAAACTTTATCAATCAACAAATTCAAGGCAGTGGGGGCAACATATTATTAAAAAAAGGCAATTAAGGGTGGAATTATTTTTACTGATGGGATTTCGAGCAATAAATAGAAGGTGAAAACAGAGGAAAAAAGGAGGAGGAACGAAAAAGGGAGGAGGCCAAACTCCAAAGAAAAACGAAAACAAGAACATATCAAGAGGAGGGTACTCATAGATATGAACAAGAGGTGTCCATTCGAAAAGGAGGTGGTTCTCGGTTTTCAACAGTAAATTTCCAACAACAATTGTAAGGGGATAGTGGGTTTTGCTAGGCTATTCGAAAATTAAAAAAACAATGTAATATCTTAGTTTAAAAATAAAAAACAACATCTACAGATTTTCATTTCAAGGTATTTTTCATCAATTTCTTATGTTTTTTTGTTATTTTATTTTTGTGTGCTATTATTATGTAAAAACAAAATAAACAGGGAAATATGGGTAATATTACCTTAGCCATGGATTTCTGCCGAGAGGTAGGAGAGCTTTCTTTAAAGATTAAAGTTGATTTAGGGGTCTAATATTACCTTGGCCATGCGTGAAAGAAAAAAAAAAGAGAATGAAGAGTGAAGCTGAGCGGCAGGAGGGTTTCAATGTTTCATGCGCGTAAATTAACTTAGGTTTAGACATAAGTTAGTTTTATATTAAATTTTTGGATAAATTAAACTCTTAGTTATCGTACTTGTTAGGGTAAATTATTTTTATGTTATGAAAATTCACATGTTTATAATTTTGTTCCTTTATTTTATGTGCGTTCAATTTCAATCCCAAGCAGCATTATTGTATTTAACTTCTATTGTTTTAGACATTTAACCTCTAATGTTTGTATGTTTCATTTTGGTCCTACGTATATTTAGGGTTTATTATAATTTTAGTCCCTTATGGTAATGATTTGTTTTATTTTGGTTTCATTGTTTATTATGTGTGCTATTGCATCCATTTAGCACTCGAAGTTATTCAATTACATCATTATATAACTCTACCCTTAATTTAAAACATTAAATTACAATCCCTTAATCATAACACGATTACTTCTAAACCTTAAACACTAATTTAGAGGTTTAAGTTATGATTTTAAGTTGGGAAAGGGTATAAAATGATGCAATTAAACAATTTTTAAGGTTAAATTGATGCGAAAATAAGATTAGGGCGAAAATGATACATTTGATCTACTAAAGGGACAAATGTGAATTTAAAATAATACAAAAATACGATAAGAGCGGAAATAATAAATTTGATATACTACAAGAACAAATGTGACTCTTAAGCTTATATTTATTATTGCCCATCCTTTTGTCATTAGTCATATTTTATGTAAATCCTTTTTTTCGATTTTCATGAAAAAAAAATTTAAGATCATTTTCTTATTAAAACATCACCTTCAAAAGATTAATATTCAATTTAATAAAATTTAATTATTTTTTAGATTGATATATATTTCAATCAAATATATAAAAGATGTTCACTGTTAAAAAGCGTCTTCGAAAGACATTTTCCATAAAGCATAATTTTATTTTGGGTCCGTTTGTTTCGTTGAAAATGGTTTTCGGAAAATATTTTTCGAAAAATATTTTTCGAAAAATGTTTTCCGATAAATGGATTACATTTTCTGAAAAAACATTTTCTGGAAAACATTTTACGATGTTTAGAATATGTTGTTTAAACCCTTTTTCCACTATTTGATTATTTTTTAAATTATTTATTTAAATACTAAATACAATAAATAATATTATTTATCATAAAACTTAATATTATTATTTTTAAAATATTAAAATAATTTATTTATTATTAAAATATTATTTTTATAATTTTTTTAATAAAATATTAATATTGGTATATATTTTGAAATAAAATATTATAAATTATATTAATTATTTATTAAAGTAATAGTGTTATATTATATTTTAAAAATATTAATTAGTATATTTTAAATATATTTATTAAAATATTATTAGATTATTATATTAATATTAAATATATAAATAATATTATTCATTATTAATAATTTATTATACATTATTAAAATAAAAATATAATATATTATATTATTATAATATAATTGATTATTTTATTATAATATTAAAAATATAATATTTATTATTAAAAATATTAATAAATATATTTTAAATATTTTAATAATTAATATTTTGATTAAAATGATATTAAAATATTTTATTAATATTAAATTTATAAAATAAAATTATTTTGAATATTTATTCTTTGAAGTGAAAAGTTCAGAAAATAACTTACGAAAAATGAGATTGTAAGTCATTTTCCAGAAAACACAAAGGAAATTCTGTCGATCAGGAAAATGTTTTACGTTGACCAACCAATTTTCCTCCAACCAAACACTGAAAAATGAGGAAAACATTTTCGAGAAAACGTTTTTAGTGAAACAAACGGACCCTTTGACGTGACTAGAGATAAAAGTTTAATCCGAAATTAATAGGTTCGATTTAACTCTATTTGATAAGATTGATTTCTTTTAGAAAAAAATTAGGTTCAAGCCAAGTCTTGTTAGATTTTTTTTTATGAAAGTGAGATATGATCAAGTCGGGTTGGGTTCTGGTAGATCGTGAAAAAATTCTGACCTAATCTGAAGATAATAATGTAATTTATTTTATTTTTTTTTATTATTGTCATTATTTTATACCAGGTTAGGTCGGGCCAGAATCGAGTGGAGTATACATATATTTTTCGACTCGGGTGGAAAATATATAATTTTGGGTCTGATTTGGTCAGGTTCAGATGGAGGATATATATTTTTAAGATCAGATCGAGTTGACAAAAAACTAGACCCAACCTGACCCGTTGTCATCTCTAGACTTGACTATCCAATTAGGGATATATCGAGGGGTGGGTGAAGACAGTAGTTCCCTTGAAAATTTAAAACTATCATATATTTTAATTTTCCTATACATTTTCTATTGAAAATATATTTTTTTGCTTCCAAATTTTATAAATTCGTACCCTTCTAAAATAAAATAAAAATTATCCTTAAGAGTTTATCTTGCGTATGTTACCATGTCCAATGAGTAATTTTCCTCTCATAAATGAAATACATTTTTCATAAAAAAAAATCTTTCTAGTAGACATTAAAAAATAATCAATAATAGAAAAATAGATAGTTTAAAGTTCAATGATATATGATGTAGTTTACCTTCAAATATTCAAGCTAACATGTTGATAAAATTTATAGCTCAACTATCAAAATAGAATATTTCTTATAATTTAGTGACAGCACAAGTAATTTAACAGTATAATAAACATATTAACTTCAATCATAGTTTGTAAACAACCTTCAATCAAGCCAAAAAAAAAAATAGTAATAGGTATGCTGATGAGATGAGTTGCAAAGGTCTGGTCTGCTGCAGAATTGAAGTATCTGGTATGGGGCTTCCACCTTTCCGGAGGAAGTATGTCTAAAATTATAGGGAATTTAGTAATAATTAGTTTGCTTATGAGCAAAGCCAGCTCCCAAATTTTGAACCTGCAAAGGAAAATTGAAAAGGGCTGTGATGTATTTTAGACATACTTATTTTATTTTGTCAGCTTTGTAACCAACGAGAGCTCTTATATTTTTCTAAAGAAAAGTTGTCTAAATTGAATATAGTATGTATTACAAAAAAAATTTAAACATAATACTAATATAATAATGTAATCTAAAATTTTGTTATGGAATATCATCTCTATCTCTACTATTTTAAAATGCCGTCAAGGCCGCGATATTACGGGTCGTCCTTTGATCTCCCGCGCAGGTTGAAATCCCATTACTGCCCCTTCCCATCTTTATTTTGAAATTTCAACCCACCGACACAGCGAGCGGTTCGCGAAAGAAATTCCAAAATCACGAAAAAACGCCGCGTCGTTTTACGACACTTGCCGTTAAAATCTAAGGTTTGGATTCTTTCATAATTAGCCCCGCTATAAACGGACTATTACACGTGTCAACTTCTTTTCGTCTTAACCCCTAATTTTATGACGTTTAGAGTCACGGCATGATCTTATAACCGTTAACGAAAACAAATTAAAAAGGAAATTCACAAAAAAAAACCCCTCCTCCTTCCCTCCACCTCTCTCGCTCGCCTCTCAGTTTCTTTCTCTCTCTCTCTCTTTGGCTTTCGTTTCCTTCGGAATCAAAGAGCTCAGGCTTCTTCGGTACGTTATTTTTTTTATTCTTTGCTCTTTAATTGGTGGATTATATTGAGTT